GGTTAATACGATTTTTTTATTTTTAATTAATACTTTTATTTATTTTAGGATGCATTAATTTGTTCAAAAGTGACAGTAAAAACATTTAATGCTCTTTTGAACTTTGCATTCATCAAATAATAAAAAAAAATCTTTAAGCAGCACAACCATTTTCAACATTGATGTTACTTGAGCACCAAATCTGCATATTCAAGTTATTTCTGAATGATCATGTGACAATGAACATTGGAGTAATGACTGCTGAAAATTGAGTTTTGACAATTATGTGAATAAATTACATTTAAAATAAGTTAAAATAGATAAATTATAAATTTTTAATAATATTTAACAATATTATTTTGTTTGCTGCATGATTGATCAAATAAATACTGCATTGGTTAGGAGAGAGAAGAGAGAGAGAGAGAGAGAGAGAGAGAAAGAGAGAGAGACAAATAAATAAATAAATAAATAAATAATAATAAAAAAAAAAAACTTAACCCCAAACATTTGAATATTAGTATTTTCATAGATTATCAAAGCTCTGAGACCACAATTGAAATCTGAGACTTTTCTCTTTTCTTTTATTTATTTTTTATTTTTTATAATTTAAACAAAAATACAAAAGAAAGAAATATTATGAGGTAAAATCAATAAGAAATATGTAAGATTGTGCAGTATTTCAAGATATTCAGATATTTAAATTTGATTTTGATTGATCAAAATATCAATATGTTATATGTTCTTCCGTCTATTGAACTATTTTACAAAATGCTCTTTGTCTCATTCTCAAATTATTCTGGAGAACATGATCATTAGGTTTTATACAAACTTGGAGTTCATGCAGCGTGAATGCTTCTGTCATTAAAAATGGGACATAGCAAATACAAAGTCATTCTGAAATTCATGTTAATTTAAAATCAGCTTTTCACTCAAATTTTTATGCTGATTATATAATTCCTAATGAAAAAAAATTGATTAGAAAGGAATGCAAGTGGAAACTTCATTAGTGGTTTCAGTCTGAGAATGTACATTATCTAACGTCACATAGACCTTTGAGGTCCGTAAGCACAAAGGAGGAGGTGCACACACTCACTCACACATACACTTGCTCAGCGATTCTAGGTTTCTCCACAGACCTAGTTTTGTAGTATTGGTCAGGTAGTGACCGGAGGCAGATAGCCCATTCACTGATGCATGGCCAGCCAATGAATATGAAGGTGGATAGATGGTATTCCTAAATTGCCAATTAGTTTTAATGAGCTTTAATTTTAATGAGCACTTTCTGTTCAGATGCTGGGTCTCTGTTAATATCATTCTTTTTCTGAATTATTTTTTCTCCATTCCCACTGCACAGATCCGCAAATTAGAACACGTCTCTCTCCATCAAACCTCTGAGTGTTGTGAAGAAGAGGTGACTCCTCCTACTAAAGGTTATGTGATTGACTTACAGTCGAGTTGTACCCTCATCTTGTGATGAGTGCCTCAAGCAGAACACCCCCACTGATCACATCTCATTCTCCCCACAATGCAGAATACCTGGCCCTCTGGTCACTTTATCACTTTATTTATTTTCTCAAACAGGGGTTGTGTCCATCATGCATATTTTAATGAGTCAATGATTTGCCCCTGTATTCAGATGTATTCCATCCAATAATTATTCTTGGCCTAAAGCTATACCCTCAATTAAATTATCTGCAAACGTCTTCTGAAAATAAGATGGAACGAATAGGGGGAAAATAAGAGGGGGTGGGGAAAAAGATGGATGACTAACTTGATAGTAGATGTTTGATATAAATCGTGCAAATGGTTTTAATTCCTCTAAGTGCTGTGGAGTTGATCTGAGATGCCTAGGGAATGAGGCAAAGGTTTTGAGAAGTCCTGGACACAGAAGAAACTCAAGAAATTCAACCTCACTGAATACAGTTGAATGATAATACATTAAAGGGATAGCTCACTGAAACCATTTACTTATGTATCAAATGGCAAAAAAGAAATTTAGCAAACTATTCAAGTTACTGTTCTTCATACAATAACAACGCTAATACTATTGTTCTAAAATTAATAAATCATAAAAGTAGTTCATACGACAACATATTAAGTCTTTGTTGGAGGAACCATGAGATATTTTACCCCAAAATGAAAATTTTGTCATAATTTACTCACTCTACTCTTGTTCCAAACCTGTATGAATTTATGTATCAGTTGATGGTAGCCATTGACTCCCATAGTACTTTTTTTCCATACTATGGAAGTCAATGACTATCGTCAACTTTTGGTTACTAACCTTGTCTAAAATGTCTTATTTTGTGTTTAACAGAATAAAGAAATTCAAACAGGTTAGGAACAAGTGCAGGATGAGGAAATGATGATACAAATTTTTTTTTGGGGTGAACTATCTCTTTAAAGATGAAGTAACATGATTTGGAATGACTTTATGGTGAATAAATAATTACAGAATTTTACTACAGAAAAACTGTTCTTTTAACACGTTAGAGAGCTACTCCCCAAAGGCAAAATCAAGGCGTACAACCTGAGATTTCTGCAGTTTCAGAATGAGTACAATATCCAAAGAAATATCAAGTTATTATTTAAAGAGGTCATATGATGTTGCTAAAATAACATTATTTTGTGTATTTGGTGTAATGAAATGTTTATGCGGTTTAAGGTCGTACTTACGTGAGTCAGAACTGCCATTTGCATTGTAGTCTACTCTACCAGGATCAGGAAACAGTCCTCCATAAAATGCGCTGGACACATCTGAATATTTGAGTTAAACTGTTCTGGAACAGTGTTGTAAATACAACTTAACCACTGATTTCTAGTCGAGCAGAGGCGGACGGGCTTGAGAACGGCGCGGCCAGCGGATTCGACAAAGGAGCATCTGGCGGGCTTGCGGCAACCACATGTGACAACTCCGGGCTGGACTCCGCTTCGTCCACGGTGAAAGGCGATCCGGCGATCGACAGCGTGAAGTTGAGGTATTACCTCAGTGACCAGCACGGATCAGCTCCAGGCATGACGAAGCGGATATTGTCCTCTTTTGGAAGGCCAACCAAAGTATTTTCGCTTTCACAACGAAACACATCGCCTTCACAACATGGCGGTGGCGGCAACAACTTCTTCTCCTTCTTCTTCTTCTTCTTGTGTGATTTGCGGCAGCTTAGACGCTTCAAAGGCGTATTGCGGCGCCAACAACAATACTATAGCGAGAATAAAAGTTACGCCTTCTTTCTTTGCGTGAACATTTGGGCAGTGTTATGCAAATCTTCCCACATCGTGACGTAGACATGTGGGGGCGTGTTAGAACGAGCCGTTTTAGGTAGGCGTGGTTGACTCTTAACTTTTATAAAGAATGTATCTTTAGATTTGAGACTTTAGTCTTTGCAACTTTACAGATCTTTTTTATGCACCAAGAGCTTGTAACACTCCAAAGAGAAAGGAAAAATTGAAATCGCATCATATGACCCCTTTAAAACCTCAGTAGATCTGAAATTAATAGAGAAGGTTTCAAATCATAAAAACCTCCCTGCCCAAGTTATATTTTCTGTTGTCATATGATGAAGAGTTTGTGTTTTGGGAAAATGGAAAAGGGAGGAGAAGAAAAGATTCAAGAGAAAAATAAAGTAAGGGAGCAAAAGACAACAACTAATTAAGCTGTGACACTAATATGGTTTAGCACAAGGGGGATTAGTTTCAGCTGAGGCATTATGTGACAAGTGAGCTAATGCTGAAGGACATAGCAAGACCAAACATCTTCCATGCTGCCAACAAAAACCACCCATAAACAGTAACCAGAATCTATCACACAATCTCAATACTGTTAAATTAAATTACATATCGCGTTTGGTCTCGTTCTGTATCGCGTATCTTGTCAGTGTCTGCGCTTGCTTGGCCATTTGTTGCGGAGAAAATAAGGAAAGTGTGTTCAAGCGCCAGCAGAAAATAGTGTAAAGAAATAGGCTTTGAGAGAAGCAGTCTTTATCAGCGGAAGTTAAAAGCAGCTCGTAAGTGTATTTACTTGTCTCATTAGTGTTTAGTGCAGTTGTCGTTGCTAGGAAACGCTTGTTTTGTTTACTGTGTGGAGAGGTGCTGATATCGAACGATCGCGGATTTGTATCAAATAAAGGTTACTCGTGGTGCTAGGAAACAGGACATTAAGGAAGTGATTTACAAGCATTTGGTTGAACGTCGGGTTTTGTCTGAAGAAGGTGAGGGGGAGGCGGGTGTTGCAGCTCAAGTGTTGGCTTCCGTAGAGGAGGGGATAGAACCCAAACCTGCGGAGTTGACTAGCATAGATCCCGCTAACCTTCCTTCTCCGAGTAATCCTTTGCTGGCGATCAGATTGAAAGAGCTGGAGTTGGAGTTGAGCAAACAGCAATATCAGAGCCAACTGTTGCATGTGCGCACCACTAATATATATATATATATATAATAATTTATTCATTTAGCGACTTACAGTGCATTCAGGCTATGTATATATAAATTTTTTACCAGTATGCGTGTTCCCTGAGAATTGAACTCACAACCTTTTGCACTGCTAACGCAATGCTCTAACCACTGAGCCACAGGAACATATAAATATTAAAAATATATATATTTTTTCCCAATATATATATGGGGGGAAAAAATAATAAAATGTTATGTAAAGAAGGTGAATAACATATTAACAAACCCCCAATTTAAAACCATTCAGAATACGGATAGGAAAAAATATAAGATATACTGTATATTTAAACTGAAGTCTACAGACTCCAATGTGTAGCATTTGAACCAATCAGACACACATTTGTTCATTAGATTTAACAAATCAATTATTCATTAGATTAACAAACAATCACAGATCCCGCCCTCACCCAAGGGTGCCAGCATGTCTGGGAATGACCCCAGGCCCCTGGTTACCATGGCAACCAGGACCCCTCAGCCAGATCAGATATACTTTTATGACCTAAAAGTATGTAGAGAGAATCAACTCTTACTCAAGTCTCTCTATAACAGATACATAATGCCCATAAAAAATGGACTATTCTCTAATTAATTCATAGGAAACCCTTTCTTTGAATGAGCACACATATACTTCAGGTCATTGTGTATGTTGTTACTGTTCTTGTATATTGTCTTTTGTATTATATACTGTTGTATGCATGCTTATGATAGAACCACTCGTTCATGTAACCTTACATATACCATGTTTGGTCACTATGAATTCGTCTTCGGATGATCTAACTGAGAGTGTATATTATATGTTTATACCTATGCAACATATTAGTGTTCTAAGAATCTTTAGTAGTTTTTGCATCAACACCCAATCAAATTGCATATGCAAAATACCATGCTCTAAGACAAAGAGTCGTAAACTTTCCCTCCAAAGGTGAAAGTCACCATTGGCTCTGTGACCTCCCGGAGGTGTGAGCTCAATAGGAGATAAAGCTCTCACATCAGTGACCCGTCTCAGTCAGTCTGCGATTCTGTTAGACTCTGAGAAGATGAGGATGCGAGCTAGAACGCTTCTGCAACCCTTAAGTTCCTGCCAGGCTTCGGCCTTGACTTTACATTCACCAAAGATCCTAGGATCTCAGCTGATGTCTCTCTAAGCTCTTTTCACTTTCCACTGGGAAGAAACTCCCAATCACCATCGAGTCAGAACATCTTTGGAGTTCATCACTTTTCAAACCTGGAAGACGGTGATCGCGACTCCTACACCACCGAACCTCCAAACCATCAAGACTTTCATCCGAGACTGCATCCGTACGCTCATTCCAGGCCAAGGCAATGCAAGTATCGTACATTTAACTAAACAGAGGTTTAGTATAAGCTGTAGACCCAGTTCTAAAACGGCGCTGATGTTTCACTCAGGTGCATTAACTGACTCTTTTCATAGCTTCATTCTCTGGTTTTTCCTGATGGTTTCATCCATCACGCCTCATTTGCCCTTTCCCATGTATGAGTGATTGTTTGTTTGTTTGTTTGTTAGACTAGTTTGTGTTAGTGTTTAGTTAATAATTAATACTGTATGAAAGTATTTTCTGTGGCCACGGAAATATCCTTTCCTAGAGTTGATATGAACTTACACTGAATGTTCGCTGGACGAACAGATTGGTTGATGGCAATTTAATTCTGCTACAGTTACTACTGGCAGCTGATATAAATAATTGTAATTAATCATAATTAACTAATTATTTATATACATTTCCCTTTTGAGCTAATTTGCTACAAATGGATAAAGTGTAATAAAATAAACACTAAAATGTGCATTCAGAATGTTTTCTTTCCACTATTCTGACATGTTATTCAAGACATGTTATTCAAGCAAAATCGTCCAAAAACTCAAAACTGACCACTGCCTGGAGAAAAAACAAACAAAAAAAAAAACAACTTTTGCCTGTAGTGTCTTGCCTTATCGAAACTGTATACCACCAGATTTCCATGGGTGATAATAGTTCAATGCAGAAAAAGAACAATAATAACTAACACAGAGGAATGTTCATACTAATAGAAATGATTACTTAAATGTAACTTGGTCGCAGTGCTATTTCAGCTAGGGCCTGGTTAAACTGGATTGTGGGTGGTTAGAAAAGACACGTGCTGTTTAGTGAATATGCCCTCAGAGAGTTAAACCAACAGGTCAAAGCATGACAGTGAAATTACAGAGATGCCTACTTGTCATCTGGGGACATTTAATTTCAATAGCATCTGGGGAAACTGTTAATGCAGAGGCCAGAGACAAATCTGCACTATGCGGCTTCATCAAATGTAAACTGCTGCCCTGCCATTATCACACAGGGACGGCAAGGGTTCAGCTCAGCCTGTCATTCTATACCTGTTATTCCCTCAGAAGAGTAAGAGGACATGGGGCAAAAAAAGCAGTACTTCATGGCTGTGTAATCACTTCAGGAAGGCATGCAATTTGTGTGGCCAGAGGTCCACTCAGAGTAAAATAAATAAATAAAACCGCTTCCCCGAACCTTCTGTGATTGGTAAATGGCCATTTCTGTTCTGCTTTTGATACATTTGCATTGTATAACTCTTAGATTTGTTGCTGTTTTTTTATGGGTTCATTTCAGATGTTGAATTCATAAGATACAATTAGTGTGTCCTCTCTTGATTTCATGATTGCATACACAATTTCAAATGCCTTTGAGCTGACTATATTTTTCAATGAATGTCTCAAATTGAATATCGCATTTTTGCCATCCTCTTGTTTTTCCAACAACTTTCTCAAAAGCACCCCTACGCCTCGGGGTCTCATGGACAGCTCATAGAAGCAATTATAGTCGACTCAATTTTCAACCAGTGATGCCTAAAGCAGAATCCTCACCCCATGATTCTTTGGCTGTTGTAAGCCATGCGCCACACTTTTCCCGCCATCTGTCCTCTTAACATTTTATGAGCAGCTCTGCTTCTACAGTCACACCAGTTTTTACACAGAAAGATGGAGAGAGAGAAAGAGAAGGAGAGAGAGAGAGAGAGAAGGAGAGAGAGAGAGAGAGAGATCTATTATTCAGGTCTTTTACAATTCGTCCCAACGAGAATCCGTGTTTGGAACAATTGCCCTCCTCCTCCTCCTGTTCCCTCTGACAATTACACTACAAAACCATTTGAATGTTTTATCTTCTTTAGTTTTCACTGGTTTATTCTTTCTCCTTTCTCCATGCAGCTGCTGAGGACGCCAGTTGGTCGGAAGACGGCGGTAATTAAGAGCCAATTACTCCACCTCTGGAGTCTTATTAACGACGTTGGTGAGCAAGCGAGGCGAGCAGCAGGGTGTAATCACTGGGGAGTGGTGACAGGATAATGGTATGACCAGAACCCCTCTTTATCATTGCCTGTGGATCTGACAGACCCATACAGTACAGAACTATTACCGACATGGGTTGCTACAACCAATGAGTCTGCGGGGTGTCTAGCAGCCCTAGGTCGAAGAAATGTTTGGGTTGCAATTCACACGTTTGAACTCATTTTATCAACAGATCGACTTTTATGGTACAGAAAAACTGTGGATACTAATTCTATCCTCATAAAAATAGATATAACAGTGGCAACACTATCAAGAAGCAAGATTATAGTCTGTAAACTTCAGCCCTCTCAATACAGGGATAGGAGAGTGGGCTAGAGAGGCTCTCCAGAGGAAAGGACATTCAAAGCCATTACAGACAATCTGATTGCCTTGCGAAAGAGGTGTCCAAAGACCAACAGAACGGAAATTAGGAAATAATGGAGGGGAATAATGAAAAACAATGAAAACTGGCAGCAAGTTGGGAAAAATGATAAGGAGAGGAAAGAAAAAAAAAGCAGCGGTTTTGCTCATTCCACACCGTTTCACCTTTTAAAAGAGGTAAGGGAAAAATCAGTTATATAAACGGGTTAGGAAAAATAATTCTTCTTGTTATTTTAGATTGCCTTCTAATGTTGGCTCATCTCGTTTCCTCTGCAAGTCTAATTTAAGATCCTATCTCCTGCTCACCTTGGTGTGATATCACATAAGAGTTCAGCCAGCATGGAATCTGAATACCAAATGGATAGGCTAGACTAGTTAGTTTGGAAATGGAAGAGAGATTTCTCTTTCCCACTCCATCTTTTCATTTTCTTTCTCTCCTTCTCAGTCATGTTTGGTCAAAACTGCAATTGTGTACCTAAAAAAAAATCTTTCAGTTTTCTTATAGACATATAGAGAGCTTATTTGAATTGATTTGGAAAATTCTGAGAATTAAAAAAAAAAACTGTAATCAGAGAATTTGAACTATTCCATATAAAAATATATTTATCGTTCTAAAATGACACAGACACGGACACAAATTTAGACCTCCTTGTAATGGTCTGTACTCTATATGTACTCTGTGATCATATAGAATGCAATATACAAATGTAACCAGTACACACACGGATGAAATATAATGAAATAAAATGAAGAATAGCCAATCACAGACTGCAACTCGTTTAAACAATAAAATACTAAAATAATTACAAATAATAAGAAAAGATTCCAAGAAAAGAATCCAATTTTTGGACCATTTAAAATGACTAGTTATGGACTCCCATTTTAGCAGGGCCATTGAGGGGACCAAGTTTGTGGACACTTACAAATGCCCTTACTCATGACCCTTGAAGAATCAAAACTGCATCTGTCACTCTATATTTATGGGATAACTTTCTTTTTTTTTTTTTTTTGCTTAACCAAATACATGATTTGACAAAACATGGGTCATAAATTGGGTCAAACATCAGTCCAATACCTTTAAAAGGTTAGAAGGTCCAAAAACTGTGTACAGATCTACAAAACATATAAATAAAACACTGTTTTGTTTTTTTCACGGAATCGATCTTATCGGAATCTTATGGACCAAGGTGTGCTCTGTCTATTTATAGTTATTATACCATACAAAATCTGCCACTGAAGGTTACCAGAGCACAAGAGAGGGGAAGGTTATGGACGTGTTAGAGGAGTGTCGATATCACAGGAGCAATTACAGCTGTATAAATGGCCCCTCCATCAGTCCAAATCAGGCATTCCATCAATCTGGCCCAATGGCAAAGCCCTCAGCCTGTCACCCCTCTTTCTGCCTGCAATCTGTACATTTCAACTTAGCCTAGAAATTGATAATCTGATTGTGGCCTAACCTAATTATGCATTGCATCTGCTGGAGGTAGAGTAGAGAGACCTGGCGATGAAGGAGTCAGCACACATTCAAATGGGGAACAGGATGAGTATCTTAAGCACTGGCTGACAAGAAAAGCCTTACACACTATTAAAGCACTCCTCTCACAAAGATTTAGACAAAAGTTTATGTGGAACTCAGCATAAATAAGGGCCTTTTAATTCAATGTCTAGACACAGCGGACTTGCACAATAGCAAGAAATTCTGCGGACACAGACTGCTTATCTGCCTTCAGCCTTTGTGTTAAGCAGTCAATACAGAGCAGCTACACACTATTAAAGCACTCCTCTCACAAAGATTTAGACAAAAGTTTATGTGGAACTCAGCATAAATAAGGGCCTTTTAATTCAATGTCTAGACACAGCGGACTTGCACAATAGCAAGAAATTCTGCGGACACAGACTGCCTTCAGCCTTTGTGTTAAGCAGTCAATACAG